TTTCAAGGGAATCCATTTCCCAATCTGTAACTTCCCATTGCAATAACGTGAACATTTACGTATGTGATGCTTGAATGTACAATACAATTATTTATAAGATAAAATGTTAAGAAAAAATCTTGAAATCAGTATTTCAGCAGAGTTCGATTACATTCCAGTGGGAACTGCTCTGAAAAGAATTAATGTTTTTCACGTATAAAAAAATTGAATTCATGAGAAAAATAATGTTTGCAGTTGAGGTGAAACACATTAAACCTTTCCTCATGGCACCATTTCACCCCAAGCAAGGCAACAAAATGTGGTTGCTAAGATTAAAATAAGAAAAAAAAAACATTATTAAGGCGTGAGAACAATAAAAGAACAGGAATTAAGAAGACAGTAGATAACGATTGACATTATATTTAAATTTTTGAAGAGCAAACTTGACTGGAAAGCAAGAAGCTGTAAGAGAGTTCCACAAATGAGAAGTCAGAGAAAAGAAACTGTTTAAACAGAACTTGCGGTTACATCTAGCCATTTCAACTTTAAAATGTTGATATCTTGTTGCCAATCTAGTACTGCGCTTAAATTTGTAAAGTCAAGGTATTATAGGTGAAAGTTCATCGGAGCTATACACAAAATATTTATTGAAAAGGCACAGTGGTGGTGGGAAAATGATTGAAACTGAGATGCCAGGTCATGATCAATAACATTGCAGATTCTTCTTTAGATTTTATCAAGAATCTCTAAATATATAACAGAAGAACCCGACCAATGCATAGATGAATGGTAGACTTATAAATGTGTAAGATAAACTCTGGAGAGTGAATTTGTCTAGCTCGACAAAGTGATCAAACTTTCCTAGAATCAGACCTAGTAACTTTTCCATTTTCCATTTCATGTCAGCGGAAAACATTAGATCGAGAAGGCACAATGAGTTACTCTCATGGAGGTTAGCATCAGCCATACTGATTGAAAGAAAAATAACCGTTCTCTAAGACGGTTAAAAGAGATCAGGTTCGTTTTGGAGCCGTTAAAATTAACAAGCCATTCTCATCTAACAAGAGATTGTATGTCAATTTTGAGATCAGCTGCCAAATTGACCTTATGGAACCGATCAGACTTATTATTAAGACAGTAGTAAATAGTTGTGTCATCATCATTACCGATTGAGAACTTATGGCATTATGAAGGCCGTTGATGAAAATTAGGAACAATGGAGATTCATGGATATAGTCCTGGGGGTTACCTCCATTAATGGAAAAAGATATAGAAGAGTTGCCATTCAAGACAACTTTCATTTCGCAATTTCATAAGAAAGATTAGATCAGTTCAAAAACTCCTCCAGAAATATAACTTTTCAACATATGAAGAAGACTAGCATGCCAAACAATACCAGATGTATTCGTGATATCTACATGAATGGCCTATTCTTATCTAGAGCTTACTGATTATTGCTGAAAGAGTATTTTAGTAATAATTGTTAATACATCAGGAAACCATACTGCTTTTCTGGAGACTCTGCAAGGTGAGATGATTAACCAATTCAGAGTTGATTAGGGCCTCTCGTACTTTGCAAAGGAGAAGGCTAATAGACCGGTAGTTAGAAGGATCACGCGGTTCGTCTGAAGACTGGAACTACAAAAGAGGATTTCCAACAAGCAGGATAGCAAGAAGCAGCAAGGAATTTATTGTACAGTTTAGAGAGAACAGGGGCCAGTTCAGGAGCACATTTCTTAAGGACTATAGCAAGGATAAGTTAAATTGTGGGAATCCAGTTTAGAGATGATAGCAAACGTCATGGACAGAGTTATATAAAAGTTACACAGGTTTAATCACAGACAGTTGTAAAACAGCCTTCGTTTTTGACGGCTGTGTTTTACACTATTTATATATACATACGCAATTCGTATCACACCTTCAGTTATTAAATAGTGAAACATTAATATTAATAGTTGTAGAATTTCTTTTAAACAAAAATATTTATCAACCTTAATTTTAAATTGTATTTAACCGACATTATTTGTAAGATTATACACGTGTAGATACAAGATATGTTTAATTTGTTGAGAAAAAGGGTTTTAGACGGTAAGTGGTATTAGTGATTTATTGATATTATATATAAATCATTTTTTGCTCAATATATTTTCATGTTAAAAATGGTATGTGCTTAATATAATGGAATGGAAACACTTCTTGAAAGTAAAATATTAGCAAGAGAACAACAAAAGCAGCGACGACAAAGCCTATGGCAAGACTAAGCTGAAGCAAGAGGATTAATTAGTAGACAAAGGTGTCTGAGCTCCTCACAAGAAAGGCTTGAACAAATAAGACTGCAGTCGCAAATAAGGAATTCTCAGAGTAATTAATTAAACAAAACATTCATTTGAAACGAAGTGATAAAGTAATTGATTAGACAGTTCATCAGTAGCTTCTAAGTTTTTAGAAATGATTTCTGAGATCTGCAACGCAAGCATTGAGGCTCTTTTTTCCATTTTAGCAGTTTGATGGACCCCTCTGTAGCTTCTATCGGTACGGCTGATGCTAACCTCCAAGAAAACGACTCGTTGCGCCTTCTCGGGCTAATGTTCTCAGCTGACATGAAGTAGAAAGTCTATATTAAATCCATTGCTAGGTCAGCTCCTAAGAAAGTGGGTTCACTGTGTCGTACAAAATAATTTTTCTCTCCAGTATCTATCATACATATTTATAAGTCTACCATTCATTACTGCTTAGAGTATGACTGACACGTATACTCCAGTGTCCCTGCTATTTACCTTGAGTTGCTTGATAAAATCCAAAGAAGAATCAGCAATATTATCGGTCCTCATCTGGCGGCTCTGCTTCAGTCACTTTCCCACCCCAATAAGATTGTCATTGCTGTGTCTTTTCTATAAATCCTTTCATGGTAATTGTTCGGATGAGCTCTTCGCTAAAGTGCTTAGACTCATTGAATTTAAGCACAGTACTAACTTGGCGTCGAAATCTAGTCAATTTGAAGTTGAGCTGGCTAGATTTAGCCGTAAGTTCTATGCTAACAGTTTCTTTGTTCGCACCTCTTGCTTGTGGAACTTCATTCTGACTCCATGCTTTCCAGCGCACTGCAAAAATTTTAAAAGCAACGTCAATCACTGTCTACTTTCCTCCTGATTACTATTTTCTCTTCTCGCTCATTATTAATGTTTCTGTTCCTAATCTTTCGCTGTGTCTTAGTGGTTTTACTGCCTTCCAATATCGAGTAGAAAAATATGTCATAAGTAAAGACAACCAAGGAAATCTTTTAAAAATCAAGTTATTAGAAGAAATGTATTCATAAGAGAACTAATTGCTTCTGGTTTATTTTGTTTTACGGCATATCAACCTCAATGAATTATTTAATGCCGACAAGATTTTTAGGATAAGTTCGTGTGAATATAATACGTATTTTTTTTTGTAAGAAATCAGTTTGTAGGTCAGGTTTCATTGACGTATTTTTGTAAAGAGTGTTTTTGTCGCGTGTCAGATATTTTGCGGCTAATATTTATTTTCCAAAAATGTATTGCTGATAATATTTTATTAAATGTATTGCTGGTATTTCTACTATAAAAATCTAGTTTTTTTTACTTTCATAGTGTTTTGACCCAAATTTGGGAGTTAACTATTTGCCCATAGCTGGGACCCTAACAGGCGCTACCAGCCTGGATCAGGGTGGTCCTGGGAACAACAGCAATTAAGAGGTGGTTCCATGCTCCTTAAAATATATATATATATATATATATATATATATATATATATGTGTGTGTGTGTGTGTGTGTGTGTGTATAACCACTCTCCGAGCTTAACAGGAGAATCGTGATGAAATCGATCATAAATGAAAATGACATGTTCATCCCTAATTAATCATAGCAAAGGACTGAAATAAAGTTGAAATATATATATATATATATATATATATATATATATATATATATATATATTCCAGAGTCATTTTCCAACTCCTTCAAAATGATGTTCGCCCTCTCTAACTTTCTAACTTTATGTCCTGGAGTAACAAGGTGCCTCACAAGTTTCACGTACGATTTCATTTTCAAGCCGTTTTTCACTGCTCTGTCTTATGAATTGAGTTGGATCTTTTTTAATTGACCTCTTTAGCTCTAAGTGTGAAAGGATGATCCCTCTTCCTATTGTGACCGCCTGATCCAGTTTTCCTATCTACCGTTCTCTTTTTTTTGTAAACTTAATTCAAGAACGAATGGACTTTGAAGGTGGAAGCCAGAATATGAATGTTGGTACCTTTACTGAAGGTCTGAATGATCTTTTCCCTCTCACCATTGCTCAGTTGAGAAGACAGTGGGTTTGGCATAAAACTATTTTAACCTGTTCTCTTTTTAACTGATAACGCAAAGGATTTTTCACTGATCCTTATGACAAATGGTGCCAAGATGGCGAAACGTCTTATCTGAAAACCTGAAAAAAGGAAACTCAATTAGTTTAGAGTTTTTTTTCTTTTTTTTTTAGATATTAAAAATTTTGTGGAAGGGGCAATTATGCTGTTACACGATTTGGACAATTCTGCTATTACATCAGGTATATATATATATATATATATATATATATATATATTCAGACAAGTTTTATTGAATGATATAGACATTTATTTTAAAAAAAGTAATGAGAACTACATTATCTTTTTTTTTTAAATAAATAAACAAACGTACGAGGTTTGATTGTAATAGAAAGGGAGGAAGTGGATGTAAAGAAGAAGAAGAAGAAGAAGAAGAAGAAGAAGAAGAAGAAGAAAAGCAAGGCAATTTATATTTTTTAACCCAAGTACTTCCGGCCTTTTCCAAGATCATCTTCAGGGATAAATTACAAAGGCAAACTTATTGTATCTGTGATAAAATCTGCATTGATACGACTTATGTAATTCTGAATTTTTGGGAAGTTTTAGTAAGTAACTTGAAAAATAATTTCCCTATTTTACATCTTACCTCTAAGTATTATTGTATCTAAATTGATACAAATTATATCTTGAAAAAGTA